ATTTGAAGTATATGAACCAAACAACAAGCGGAAGGTGGGAATTTAAAATTTTAGCAAGTTAGTAGACATCGGTGATAGGTTGTGGTTTTTGAAGTTTGAACACTTTTTAGCAACATGGGGCATGATGGTGATTGGAGGGCAAAACTTTCAGCAACATGGCATATGTTGCTGAAGGTTTTATATATACCCCCTCACCCACCCCATACCGAGCTCAGCAATTCTTAACTTCTCCTCCATTTCTTTCCTTCTTTCATTCCTTTTGTGCGCAAATATATCCTCTCAATGCCTCCTCCATTTCTCAACCTTCTTTTTTCATCATTTTTGCTAACAAATGTCACTCATTTTTTATGAAAACAAATTAATTTTCTTGAGTTGTATATTTTGATTTTATTGTATTCATTATTTGTATGAATATTAAGTGATTAAATATGTTTTAATTTATTTTCAAATTAATAAAATTTTAAATGACTGTATATATTACTTACTAATTTTGGTTTTTTGTTTGTTTTGTTAGTAAATATCAGTAAAATAAATAAATTCAAATTTAGAATGCTCCATGCACAAGTTAATTGCCTTGAGATGTTTCTTTATTAGCAACAAGAGTCTTGTTGCTGAAACATCTTGGGTTGACTATTTCATAAATTATCAACAACAATAGTCTTGTTGCTGAAAGTAGGTAGATTTACTGTTCATAGAAGTATCAGCAACAAGGTCCATGTTGCTGAAAAGGGTGTACAACTCCAGTGGACAATTCCGGTGACCATTTCTAGCAACATAAACCATGTCAGTGATAATATAATTTCACCGACATACTTCATGTTGCTGAAAAGGTTGCACAACTTCGATTGCTGGCTCCGGTAAATTTTTTAGCAAGATAGACTACATTGGTGAAACTTCACTTTCAGCATCATAGTGCATGTTGTTGAAAAGGGTCCAAGGAATCACCAACGTGGACCTTGTTGCTGATGTATCATCGAGCACAGTATCTCCAACAAAGACATCAGCAACATGTATCTTGTTGCTGGAAGACTTTCAGCATGGGATGCACTTTCACCAACGTGCTCCCGTAATGTTGCTGAAAAATGGTTTTTTAGTAGTGAAATCTTTAACAAGTAGCTAATCATCTGCTATATATATATAATGATATAAAATGATATATAGTCCTCAGTTGAAATATTTTCATAATGAAGGAACTTGCAAGCTCCTTTACACATATAACTCAATAATTTCCATTACTAACATACACCCTTTTTTTCCCCAAAGACAGAAAATCCTATAGCAGTTTAGAAAAATAAATTAGAAGAAGCTACAAACATTGTTCACCTACATATTTCTGCTTTAACTACTAGGATTTTGTGGTATAATTGGAAGACACCGCACCTTCTTCAGCATTCCAGTATCCATCGGCAGCCTGATTCTCCCCATGACCAGGGACGGAGCCAGGGGGGTGCAAGGTGGGGCGCCCGCCCCCCCTAGGTTTTTGAAAAAAAATTAAATAGGTCCTACACTTGTGAAAAAATCAAATAATCCCTTTTTGAAAAAATAAAATGGGGTATTATAGCTTTTATTCTTTTATAGATTTTATGATAAATTATTAGCCACTTGACAAGTAAAATAAATTTAATAAAATATTTTTATTTATTTGATATGTTTGTTATTGTAATATATACATAATTAATAATTATTTGTAACAAGTAACAAAATAAAATTAACTTAAAATTGATATTGTCAATTTTTTAGAACATTTAATTTTTCTATTTTGGATCATATTAAGT